CGGCGCAGGAGGGGAAGGCTCTCTATGAGGTGGATTGATTCAGTGACTGGGATAATCGGGATGGGAGTGTAGGAGACGGTGTGATTGGCACAGGACAGAGCGGAGTTTAGGGCTGTTGTACATAGGGTCGCTATGAGTCGCAGGCGACTCGATGGCACATAACAACAACATAATGATTGATTCTTTTGGGGAGAGAAGGTTGATATCAGGTTCCCAGTTCATATATTTTCCTCTTCAGTATGATTTGTCATTTCCTCTTTGATCCCTTACATAAGATGAAAAGTGTAGTAAAGGTGAACACATCTGTTTTCTCTTAGAATTTACTAGGACATCGAATGTAGCATACCCTATAAAAATATATTAAAATTTTTGAACTTTTAAAGATTATTTCCTCAAATAATAAAGAAAAGGAAATCTAATATATTCTGTTTTTGGTTTTTGTCACATAGTAAATGTTTGATTTTGTGTGTAAACAATTGAGTAAATCTTATATTTCATATATAGTAGTCAGTGAAAAATGATAAATAGCCAACAAAAAGGAGTATTTGGTGTCTTGATAACTTCTCTTTTTCTGAAGTTTTTTTATAATTTTGGCATCATTGTACTTGGTGTTTCTTTATCAATTTATAAACCTTAAATGTTCATTCTTTCTGAAGTGGTTGTTAATATTCATTTGTATTTCATAATATAGTAACTACTTTGTTGTTAGAGGTTGGAACATGCTAAAACTAGAGTTCTTTTTATCTCTTCACCACTTATATTTCCCCGGAGGGTGTGAGTTGTGTTGACTGTAAATTAGTGAATACTCAGTGACAATTTAGAAAGCAAGTGAAAAGGTTTATTAGGGAAATGCAAAGGAGGCATGGTTGTTGAAAGATATATAGGCTGTGTAGAAGAGTTAAAGAGAAAAGTAAAGAAAGGGGGAGAAACACCCATGGTGGTCAAGGTGGACCTGAACCTTTTGGCATGCTGCTAGGAATAGGAGAGAGCAGCCTCAGGTGGGCCTTACTGTGTACTGGCTCCCACTCTTGTGAGTCTGATCATAGCCCAGCCCCACCTAGGGACCGGTGAGATTGGTGGAATGAGGGGATCCCCTGTATTCCTAAGTAGGGGCTTCTACACCTTGATGCATCTGTATTTGGCTTCTCTTCTGATTTTCTCTGAGGAAACTGGCTTTTATTCATCTCCTACGGGATTTGGGGAGAGAGAGGGACTGCTCAGGTAGCAATTCTATCCCTTGACAGAATATTTTCCTTTCTTTATTAATCACAGTAGTTTAGAAGCATGTGTCTTTGTTTGTTATTTACATACTTGAGTGGTTAACATTTGTACTATCTTACTTAGTTTTTTCTTAAGAGTGTTTGCTGTTTTGTATGCTTGTAGTACATTATGTTTTCTTTTTAATGTTTGGTTTGTGTTTTTTTTTCTCCTGTTCTCAGTTGTGGGTGTATATTTTATGTAAACTTGGAATTTATGTGGGTTTGAGGTACAGGTGTAGTGACTAGGCTACCAGAGTTCCCTAAAAGTGATTTTTCCTTAAATGGAAAATGTTAATGTACCTGCATGTCACATTGACTATAAAATTTCATATGCATAAATACCTCAAGGCTACTTTTTGTAATAATGTGGTATAGTTGATTTTTTTTTAACTCTGGGCAAAACCAGGACGTGTTTATTCTGTTTAAGATTCTAGAAGTTGGTGATTATGCAATCTTATGACCTATTCTTACACTTTCTTCATATCATGGTTCATCTTAACCATTTGCATGCCTTTGTTTTCTTGAATTAGAAAGAAATCTCAGTACTATCTTTCTCATCTTTTGCTCATTTTAGTATAGTTTCTCTGTTCTTGGCTCAGTGTCTCAGGAGATACATCATTCATTACATGAGAAGCTTGTGACTCTCAATCCCAGTTGCCCTCCTGTTCTTTCCTCTGTAGGACAGCCCATGTATTCTCGTGAACATGGTGCTGCTGCATCTGAGCGACTTCAGTTGGGGACACCACCTCCTCTGTTGGCAGCTCGTTTGGTGCCACCTCGAAACCTCATGGGAACCTCCATTGGGTACCATACCTCAGTCTCCAGCCCCACCCCTCTGGTCCCAGGTAAGCTGCACAACAGATGGTCATCTACCTTGTTGATCTTTTTTTATTTTAAGCTGACCAGGCCAAGAGGTGGGCTGTCATGTCCTGATTTGCAGTTGTTACAAATTCCCTTTAAAAGGCTTAGTTTCATTTCTGTTTCCCTCCTTCCTTGATTTGTCCCTGGTGACTTGATAGATGATGAAGCCTCTTGTGTGTCTGTCATCTCTGGTGTCCTCTATTTATTTTCGTGCCTTGGTTACAAAAACCATATTTGTTCCTTGAGCTGGATATGGATAGGAACATAATATTAACTTGAGTATTTTCTAATCAATTATATTTTATGAGAAAAATTATAGTAGTTGTTATTTAAAATTAAATAAAAGCAAATACTTGGTTTCTTGGTGATCACATATGAGCATATGTTTTTCTCTGCCACTTGTATGTAATACTTGTATATAATGTAGGATTTGTGATACTATTCTTTCCTGTTTACTTGTGCATTTTTTTGAGGATCTGTGGAGTGTTCTGTGGGTGCCTCATGAGGTTTTTAAAGATTTCTTTACCTTTAGCTCTCATAATAATGAACTGAAGGGCTTATAACTTTCTTGGGGTTTATTTATTTCAAGTTGTAGAATAAGATCATTTGATTTTGTAGCTTTTTAAAAAATATGCTTTAACTTAGACAGTAGGATATTTTCTCTGAAGGGTATCAGTAAATGAAAACTGAAATTTCTTAATCATACTTTATTCATACTGTTCTCTGAATGACAGAAGTGATTGAATAGTAATAAAGATTTGAGTATGTCTTACAGCTGAAACTTAATATGAGCAATATTGATTAATTGTAATTGTTTTAAGGCATAATGCATAGGAGTGATTGAGTAAAACAATAAAAATAAACTAGACAGAAAAGATTACTAAGAGAGAGACACAGTTACTTCTAAATTGTAGTGATGAAAATAATCATTGTTTTCAGTCAGTCTTAACTCTGCTTTTATATAGGATGAAAAGGCCTGTTTGCCATTTCAAGGTCCAATGTTCAGATATTTTACAAAATCCTAACAGAAGAAAGAGTTACTTAGTGTTATACTTTTTAAAACTAAATTTTAAATCATAAATGATATTAATTTTAAAGTGGCATTGATGAAGAGAGTAATAATTATACTTGTGTACCTTATTTTTTTGTACCAGCATCACAAGGAACAAATAACTATTTTAAAAATTATCTTATCAACTCAGAATTTTACCTTCTTTCAACATTTCATATACTTAAACCTGAAATAATCTTAGAGAATTAGTAAAGACTAACATTCCTACACAACTTTGAGGGGGGTCACTTATAACTTTGCCAGAGAGTAGGGGGATCAAATAATGTCTCCCAAAACAGAATGAGGTAATGATTCCTCATCAAGCTCTACACAATACGATTGGAATTCAAAACACTAAAGGTAGCATTTTGCCCAGTGTTCCTCATCCAGATGTCAAAGATTAAAGCACTTTTTTCTCACTAATCAAGTGGTCATTTCTGAAACCAGAAGAACTTTAATCTTGCCTACAACTGTGTTGGCCCAGGCACTGTGTCAAGAATTGGAGCTGAGAAGGCATACCAGGCATGCAATCCTTCAAGCAGGTAGTCATTTCAGGGAGGAGTCTGCTAGTCAGAAAGTGCCCCAGCCACATTTTCCAATAGAGCAGTAAACTTAAAACTGCTTTTCTGATAATTGTTGTTGAGTGTCTAGACCTTTTAGGGAAATCTGTAGGAAAGATTGAAATTGTCAGCTATTCTGGTTTGCTTAGATCCACAGTCAACACCCCTGGTAACAGTAAAAAAACCCCCACATCAGAAAACACGTTGCATTGGGAAAATCTGCTGTCAAAAATATCATGGAAGTGCTAAAAAGCAACAACTTCAGTTTGAAGACTAAGGTGTACCTGATGCAACCATGGTCTATTCAGTTACTTTTAATGTGTCTGAAAATTGGACTGTGAATAAGGATGCTAGAGACAGAAGAAGAATTGATGCCTTTGAATTGAGGTTTTGAAGAATACTGGATATCCCATGAATTGCCAAAAGAACAAACCAGTTTATCTTAGAGGAGGTGCAACCAGGGTATTTCTTAAAGGCAAGGATGGTGAAACTTCATCATAGTGCTGAAACATACTTTGAGTATGTTACAAGAAGGAGCCAGTTTTGGAAGAAGGCATCATGCTGGGAAATGTGGAAGGTTGAAGGAGAAGAAGACCTTCAACAAAATAGATCTGTAACATTGTTCTAGAGCAGATCAGAAATTGTGAGGATGGCACAGAATAGGGCAAGGTTAAAATCTGTTGTTCATAGGGTAGCTGTGGATCATAGTCAACTCAGTGTTGCCTAACACCAGGGCTAGTAGCGAGCTGCACTGATAACCCAAGGCCATGCCTCTTTCAAATCTCTCATTGGCTCTGTAAGGAGTAGGAGGGGGAAGCAAGTGATCTCCTCTCCTGTGATATACAACTTCTGAAATTCTAGAGAGGGTTATGGTGCAGTTGCAGTGAGAGACATGAGCTATTTAGTTCCGAAGAAAACGTCATAAAAGCAAGCTCTTGTTACTGTATTTTGTATTTTTCTTCACCCTCCTTTGCCCTTTCTCTCTTCTGCTCTTCTTTTCCTTTAAGCAGTCAAATAATCAAAGATTAAATTTATAAATTTTGTGAATGTTTAATATTCCAATCAGGAAAAGCAAGCCTAAAATATTTTTCTAGATGATTTTCAGTGACCCAGAGTAGATGTATATACTTGATCTGTTTACAAAGAATACTATGATGTTGTGGTTGCTGTGATGCTGAACACTGTGACACTGATGTGTCAAATGTGATAATGGTTACCCATGGTGGACAGTGTTTGGTGGGGCTCTCCTATTAAAACTAGCTTGGAAACAGGAGTGGCATCCACTTCTGAAATAGCTTGCCTCCGGAAACTCTTAGGAACTTGAAGAAATGATAAAAGTTATACAGGTGTCCAGGTCTTTCATTCATACGGTCGCTTTGAGTCGTCAACGACATGATGGCACTTAACAACAACAATCACCTTAATATTTTAGCTGTTCTATTGGGATATGTTTTATGTGTGAAGCCAGCTATTTTTTCCTCCAATTTAAAGTACAGACAACAAAGTGAATTTTTTCCCAATTAAAAAAGATTTATGAATTAGTGAAACATAATAGGTAACAGGAAATTCAACCAGTCCTTTATATATGATATTCATGACATGAACATTTGTTTTTAAATATGTTCATTATCATTTTAATTAGAGAGTTTATATACAGAATAAAACTGAATAGGTTTATCATCAGTTTTGTGATAGATTTCTTTTACTTCCAACAGGCATATCTGTGTAATGTAACTCAAAGACAATTATATGTGAATTGATAATGTATTTCCTTATGAAAACAAATTAGCAATTGTTTATTTCATAGTAATGAAAAATTGTTAACCTGTCTCTAATTGTTTCCCTCAGACGCATATGAACCTGATGGTTATAACCCAGAAGCTCCTAGTATTACCAGTTCTGGTAGATCTCAGTACAGACAGTTCTTCTCAAGAACACAGACACAGCGCCCAAACCTGATTGGTCTAACATCTGGAGATATGGATGCAAATCCAAGAGGTGAATATGTCTTGAAACTTTTTTTGAGTTTAAGTATTATTTAGGGATTAAAGTTTAGTCTCTTGCCCTCACAAACTTTAAAGATCTGCGTTTCATGAAAATAATATTCAGGATTTGAAGCATAGTAAAATTATCATGCATTTATTTTTTGTACCACATTTTCAGTGTTTTTATAAAGCTTAGTCATAAACCTTAATAATAAAATTAAACTTGTGAAAACATTTAGTAGCTACTACCCAAAAATGAAAAGTAGCTTTTTTCTTATTACAGATGAAGATAACTGAGTCTTAAGAGGTTAAAAATTTAACCAAGATTACACAGTTTTTATAAGACAGAATGGCAGTTTGAAACTGTGATTTCCTAATTATAGGGAATATGCCCCTTCTGTGTTTCTCTCTCTCTCTCTGTTTTATTACCAGTTTATGTGCATTTAATTAGAATCATATTCTTAATGGGGTTTTTTTCTATCTATATATTTATACATTATATTCTATAATCCTTTTCAATGAGGTCAGATGTAGCTTGGGTACTATAGGCTTACAGTGTCATCTTTATCAAATCATTGAACCTTTTGTTATATTTCTTTCCTTTGTTATAAAGCATTGTAATAAACTTAGACAGCATCAAGTCTTAATGGTAACTGTTTTAAGAAATTATTATATACTAGATTCTAGAAAGCTTTATGCTTTCACATGATTTGCTGTCTTTTCTGTTAACTTTCTGAAAATGTAATCCCTAAAAGAGTTGGACTCATGTTCCTATTCATTAATTTCTATAAAAGGTCTAGTCTAATTGGTGATCTGTAGTCAGTCTAACTCATTGACAATGGAAATAGTACTGATTGAGATGATGGTGGTGGTACCTATTCAGAATGTTGAATGAATGAGTATTTACGTCATTTCTTTGACTGTTACACAGATGAAATGGAATGTATTATTTCTCTTGTTCTTACTCCCATGACTTGTCCTACATATGATGTTTTTCATTGCTGATTTTATTTTTGGTGGATTTTCTGAGTTACGAGAAATGCTTAGGGTACAATAGGCAGCATTTTGTGTAGTTATTACTATTGTGGTTCAGTATCCCCTCTTAACTAGCGACATGTAACCTCATCCACCTACAGATTTCTAAAGTAAATCTTTCATATTTTCATCTTAGCTGTTGTTGGTGAAATATGCCAAGTATAGTATTAACTTTGGATTTTCTTTCTAGATGTTTAGTTTAAAATACATTAAACCTACTGAAAATTAAAGGAAATATAATAAGTACTCAAATAGTGAAAAGAATAGTCTTGGCACTATTTTCTTGCTCATTGTACACATTTCTGCCTTTTTTAAAAATTGGGATTAGTATTTATTTTCATTATGCTCCAAGATATTACAGAACTAGAAATTAAAAAATTATAATTAGTATAAAACAAATTTATTATCATTATTCAGGCATTAGCACAATTCAGATAAATAAATGATCACACAAGGCTCAGATACTCTAAAGTGCTATCTTAACATCACATGGAGGGAGCTCTGGTGGCCTAGTGGCAAGAAGCTGCACTGCAATCCCCGAGGCACACAGTTCAAATCCACCAGATGCTCTGCTGGAAAAGGAGGGACAATCTCCTCCTGTACCAGTCAGATCCGATTTGATGGTACACGCACGCAAAATAATAAAATTTAAAAAAAAAAACATCGCATGGATACTATAAAATGATAAAGAAGTAAGAATTATAGTTGTTCTTGTTTACTGTAGAGTTAGAACTGACCCATAGCTGACTCTCTGGTAGGTTTTCAGAAGCACTTAATCACATGGGAGGAGATTGTCCAGCCTTCCCCTTTGGAGCAACTGGTGGCCTTGAACTGCATGCCTTTGGGATTACAGCACAGCTTCTTTCCACTAGGTGACCAGAGCTCCCTAAAATTACAGTACATGGGATAATACTACAAAAAAATACAGTTGTGATAGATTCCTGTAGGAAAGGACACCTGCCACCCCTATTTTTTAATTTTTAAAGTTATACCTTGGGAAATAATAATAACGTACTATATATCAGAACCAAAAATAAAATACATTCCTTGAAGTTACAGTGCTCAACAATATTCTAGATGTGTTCTAAAAGACCATGCCTGGCAAGAATCTTAAGGAGAGACAAAAAAGGCCTGCAGTGGCTGCATAGTGGAGTGGAGTTGAGGGCAGGGACTATATAACAATGAAAGAATTTTTCTTTTACTTTTCAAAGAGAAGAGTGAATTAGGGGGAGGGGTGAGCAGGGAGAAAAGTGCAACAATGAGTGGAAATCCAAAGTCTCTGTAAACTTTCATTAAAATTAATTTTAAAAAAGGCTTTCAGTGATGCTTAGAGTGAGAAAGAGGGAGAAAAATTCTTTACCAATTTCTAGAATAATTCCATTAAACAATTTATAACATTAACAAGAGACTTTTAAATGGAGGGGAAAGAGCCTCATTTCAGCTTTGTATAAAGGATGTCCAAATCATCACACTCTAAATTCTGAAAGATACTCTTCACTCCTTTACATGAACTCTTTTTCACCCCCACCCCTGATATCTTCAGAAGGCTTTACCAAAAACAATTCTGTTTTTTATCATCCAACACCAACCAAAGGCATTAAGGAAAACAACAGAATCTGCATACTGGTCAGTTCTAAAAACACATGTTTTGATATGAATCACGAGATTTAGGCATATCTGATATCCTCTTTCTGCACACACATCTTACTTTCCCCAAGTATACTGATACCATCGTTAGTACTGTGAGAGAATATGATGAGTTTTATCCTCTCTTCTTCAGTCATTTGCTCACTGACAAGTTGCTTTGGTAGACATTGATAGCAGAAATTATTTAGGACACTTGGTAAAACTATGAGGAAAAAAAGTTTAATTTTTGAGTTACTGTAACCTATTAGAATAAGCTTCTGCATACCAAAAGAATCCACCTTATAGATAGTCCTCTATTCATTTCAGAAGGGAGAAAAATGTGATTTAAGAAGAAAAGGAAAACAATTGTTGTCACTGTAGTTAAGTGCCATTGAGTCATAATGACCCTATAAATAAAAGACCTGAACCCCTGGTCTATAACTATCTGTGTTTCTCTATGTTCATCCAGAGGCATGCTGTTTAGGAAGTGGATGACACTCTTGCTTCCAAGCCTGTCTCAATTCTGAGAGCTCCACCAAAGTACATGATGAGTAACTATTATGGCATTTGACACACCAGTGGCACAGCGTTCAGCATCACAACAACCCCAAATTACTTCAGTACAGCAAATTGACAGAGCAGTGCTATACCATTTAGAAGAATGTTCCTCCCAAATACAGTTAACACCAGCAGCAGGAGGGGCCAACCACCTTTTAAATACAAGGCCCACCCACCAGGTCCTGGTTGACTGTAAACAGCAGGCTTCACAGCTCATTGTTTGCCAAATCTGGCAAATCCAATCAGCCTCAGACCTGAGTGAAGGAAAAAAAAATCAAACCAACCAGTCCACACCCAACTCTCAATCAAAACAAGAGAGCCCACCTTCCAGAAATTAACCATTTCACATATGAGCCTCCAAAACTAGAGACTTAGTGGGGGGGTGGGGGTGGGGGTGGCGCAACAACCTTAGATTAAGCAAATACAGTAAAATATTAACTTTGTTGTTGTTATATGCCATCGAGTCACCTGTGACTCATAGTGACCCTATGTACAACAGCCCTAAACCCTCCTCTGTCCTGTGCCAGTCTCACTGTCTCTGACACACCCATCCTGATTACCCCAGTCACTGAATCAATCCACCTCATAGAGGGTCTTCCTCTCCTGCATTATCCCTCCACCCTACCAAGCATGATGTCCTTCTCCCAGGACCGGTCCCTCCTTGCAACATGTCCAAAGCATGTCAGACAAAGCTTCAGAATCCTTGCCTACCAGGTGCAGCCCGTTTTAACCTTCTCCTGGATGAACCTGTTCATTTTCTTAGCAGTCCATGATATATTTTTTCTGCCCATGAAATGCCCCTCAAAAGAATAATTTACACATAGGCAAATACAAAAAGCACTTTATTCCAGAATATCCACAAGTGGAGACTTTCTCCCTCAGTAGGAAGGTGGCGAGGGAAAAAGCCCCGAGTCCCGCCCCCATAATTGCTTTTAAGACTTTCCTGGGTGCCACTGTCGGGGTGGGGAGATTGATATCGTGGTTGGTGAGTCGGGAAATTAGTCATGTGGGTCTGCTTTTGACCGGCTGGCTACTTTGCCCGCCTTTACTCTTTTTGTGTCACATAGACACTAGTTAATTCTTTACTTTGCAAGGACAGATAAGACTTTCCCCGGGGCATTTGTGTTTGCCTTAAGCTAAGAATTTTTATGGCTCACTTCTGCTTCTGGTATTAATGGGGGTTTATAAGAAATGGGGTTTACACTGTCCCTCAATTTAATACTCTTCCCCAGCACATAGCTCAAAGGCATCAATTAGTCATTGTCCAGCTCTCTGATGCATAGCAAGTGATTGCAAAGACCATTGCAGGTGCACCTTAGTCTCCAGAGTGACACCATTGTTTTTCAATACTCTGGAGAGGTCCCTAACAGCAGACTTTCTCATCACAATACATCTTTTAATTTCCTGGCTGCTGGTACTAAGAGTGTTGACTATGGAGCCAAGCAAACGAAAGCTGTTAACAATCTCAATTTCTTCACGATCCATCCTGATGATCTTGTGGTGAGAATATTTGCTTTCTTGATATTGAGCCTCAATCCATATTGAATGCTACAGTTCTTGACCTTTGGCATACTGGTGCCGAGAGTATTGACTGTGGAGCCAAGCAAACTAAAGCTGTGAACAATCTCAATTTCTTCACTATCCATCCGATGCTACCAGTTGGTCCAGTGGTGAGAATCTTTGTCTTCTTGACATTGTGCCTCAATCCATATTGAAGGCTGCAGTCCCTGACCCTCAGCAGCAAGTGCTTCAGGTCCTCCTCAATTTCAGCAAGCAGGGTTGTGTCATCTGCAT